TTCAGATCTTTACAGAGACATACATCTCAGAATCTCTTTCTGAAAATCTCTCTTGCTCTCTCTCTCCTGTCTAGCTACCCATCCTTTCTCCTCAGAAAACACATGGGAATCTCTGTCTCTGTCTCTCTCTCTCTCTCTCTCTCTCTCTCTCTCTCTCTCTCTCTCTCTCCTCCTTCTCCCTCTCACAGCCAGACTCTGGACAATTATATGTTACATTCTCAGGGTCCAACACATTCTCATTATACATGATAAGTCACACAGTTTTTCTCAGGCTAGAGATGTCACACTGACTGGTCAGTGAGTAGCACTTAGCCGTGCATGTAGCTCTTTCCCGGACAGAGAATGACATTGAAATTCAGGACTTAACAATAGCAGTTAGTTGGATGAACCTTGAGTGGTTGGGGTACATGCAGAAAGAGAATTGCTGCAGGGGCTTGTGTCTACCAAAGTTGCTTCAGTTTTGGCCTTGATTCAGCAATAAACACCTGGAACTTATGTTTGTGTTTTCTCTGCAGGGGCAGCTAGACTGTTCTGAATTTGTTCTGAAATCTAAAATTAGCTGTATTTGTGACTAAGAATACTGTTACTTCCTGTGTTAGTTATGAAAAGTATTCTAGTATTATCAGAATTATACAGCTTAAGCAGAAATCATCTTTCTGACCATTCACAGCTATATGTGTGCCCAAAGATGTAAAACACACTACCAATGGGCTGTGGAAAGAACCTTACAGCTGTTCTTTTTAGGGAGGTGAGTGGTGGCACATGAGAAAGTTACAGATAGAAAGCAACCCATTTCCACAAACAGTGACCCCATGGACTTTGCCTAACAGGGTTGCCCAACAGAGTGTTATTCATCTGGGGGTCGACCTGTTGAACACTACTTGTCACCTACTGTGTACTCCTGTAGCCTCCTGCAGTCTAGGAATCTGGGTTTGGGATGATTGGAATTCTAGGTGCTATTATTATCTGATCTTGTCTTTGCTGGGTGGGTACTTTGCTTCTTGGTTTCTGTTACTTTCTCTCATTTTTAGGAGAGTCTGGTGGCCGTGGGTTACCTGGTAGGAAATGCTTATGAGATCCTGCCAGGTGTGGCTATGTCTTAGTTAGGGTTTCTATTACTGTGAAGAGACATCCTGACCACGGCAACTCTTATAAAGGAAACATTTTATAGGTGGCTTGCTTACAGTTCAGAGGTTCATTCCATTATCATCATGACAGGGAGCATGGCAGCATGCAGGCAGAAGTGGTGCTGGAGTAGTCCCACATCTTGCAGGCAATAGGAAGTTGACTAACACAATGGGCAGTGTCTTGAGCATAGGAAACCTCAAAGCCCGCCCCCACAGTGACACACTTTCTCTAACAAGGCCATACCTATTCCAAATAAAGCCACACCTCCTAATAATTCCATTCCTGCTTGTCACCATCCAGTTTTCAAACATCCACTGGGTGTAAGGTTCCATCTCATTGCTTCATTGAATATCTCCTATTCTCCATGCAGTTTGAAAATATTTTCATAAAAGATCAGATGCGTTCATGTTATTTTACATAAATATCTGTTCACAGCCTTTGCCTATTTTTGATGGGTTTTCTATCTTGTTCTTATTCATTCATAGGAATTGCATATTTATTGTTGATACATATTCTTGAACTTATTAAGACTTGCAAATCCTTTTTCTCCCTACTATGTTATTTGCCCACTTGCTTGTTTTCTCCACATTGTTCTTAATTGAACAGGAATCCTTACGTTTTGATACTCATTGCATCAAAAGTCAATGGGTTTTCAACTCCTGCGTTTTAAAGAATCCTTCACCATCGCTTGGTCTTGTTGACCTCTCTTGGTGTAGTTCCATCTCTTACGTTTAGCTCTTAACACTTCTGTAGTTGCATTTGTACATGACCAAGGGAAGGCTCTGTTTGTATGTTTTCCTGTATTGAGGAATTTTCTCAACACAATCTAACCAATCTATGGCTTCCATATTTATTCTTAATACAGTACCTCTTTGCTCAGATATCAAACTTCCATTGAGAGCTCAATATTCTCAGAGTTTTCTTTGTGTGTCTCTTCTACATGTTTGTCTGATTTTATAGCCGTATTGAACTGTTTTCGATGCTCATGCTCTATAGTGTCACTGAACCTGGTAAAGTAAGCAACCCCTCTTTACTCTTCATCATTTACTTTTTAAAGCCCAATTAACTTGCGTTTTTATTTTTCTACATAGATTTTATAGTTTCTTGATTCTAGCTGCTTTAAAAATGAAAATTGATTGTGATTTTATTTGTCTTAACATGGTCTGCTATAACAAATTAACATAGGTGTGGTGGCTTAAACAATGTATTTTCATTCTAGCAGCTAGAGCCCTGAGCTAAAGGTGCATACTCTCATAGTCCGATTGTTAGCAGAATTTTCTTCCTGGTTACAGAGGAATATTTTATCCCTCACAGGTTGAAAAAAAAAAGAGTCAGATAACTCCCAGGTGTCTTCTTAAGACATACATTCACACTGGGGTTAGGATTTAAGTGTATGAAATTGGAGTGGGGACACCACCATTCATCCCATTGCATTCCGATCTTTAGTTCCAAATTTTACATTGTCACATGCAAAATAAATCCCACCATTCTCAGAGCCTCTATTCCTAACTTGTTCCACCACCACCTTTAAAGCCCAAGATAAAAGTGTTATCTCAGCATCACCCAAACTGGGCGTGGGTATGACCAGTGGAGCTCACTCTGACACAAGCTCCTCGGCATCCATCAAAGGCCAAGTGTGCTGTTTGGCTCACATAGTGCTTAAAACCAGAGGAATTTCATAGGTAAATCCCAGCCTTCTGGTTTCTCTGGGAACATTAGAAGAACATAGAGCCCCAATATGCACTCCTACATAAGAACAACTGGATAAAACTGGCTAAAGTGAAGAGGCAGATATGTCCATTTTCTGTGGGCTTTCTCCTGATACGTGCATGAGACTTCATGCCTGGCTTCCAAAGGCATTTAAGTTTGTGGTCTGTGGTTTGTTATTCTGGTTCCTCTGTTTTTTCTCTTTCTGTCATCTCTTAGTTTCATTTCTTTTTCTAATTAGCTGGTCTGTGATACCAGGTCATCTCCAGACAGATAAACCGAATTTTGTACATGGAATGAAACAATATAAACTCAAAACTTAAATCCTTTGTTCTTGACAGCCAACCTAGCAAAACAGTGGGCATTTCAAGCTCTTGAACCCATCATCACTTTGTGCTTTCTAACTAATGATGATCTCAACCCTTAGAAAGATATGAGATCTAGTGTAAGCATGTATGCTCACACCATGGCGGGTATGTGGAGAGGACCAGAAAACTGGCAAGAGTCAGTACATAGGTTTTGGAAAATGAACTCAGTTTACCAGGCTTGGTGGCCATCATCTCCATCTGCAGGGCTATCTCATTGACCTTTGCCATTTTATCTTATTATTTTTAAATATCTCTTTCCTTGTCTATATATAATCTTGTGGTTCTTAGAATAAGTAATATCTTTAAGCATACCATTTTTGTTGCCTAGAACATTCCTGTGGGTATAGAAAGATAGTATAATGAAATGGCCTCTGAGGTCATGACACTTGAATTCAAATTTGGGCTTTGAGGCTTCTAAGTTACATTAACTATAAAGAATTCTTTTCTTCCATTTTAAATTTGTAATTTTTATTTTTAAATTATTATTTTATTTTTATTAGTTCTTTGAGATCTTGTGCAATGTGTCTTGATCATATTTACCCCTTAACCCATCTCCTCCCAGATCCACTCGACTTTCCCTGCGTACTCAACGTTGCCTCCACTTTCTCAACCCATCAGGTCCGATCTGTGCGTTCAGTGTTTCTGTAGGATTTTCTCCGGGCACTTGTATTTGCTACCTTTGCTGTTGTAGTTATTGCCCTGTATCGTAGTTGATTGTATCTTTTTCCAATGTCTCTTATTATAGAGACAACAATAACAGAGCTCTGTAAAAGCTAGAGGCAGAAACCACCTTCTCCACGACTGCATCACTAATGCAAAGCCCAGAGCCTGGCGTGTTGACGTTTGCTTCAACAATGTCTGTTGAGCACCCTTGTCTTCAGGAGCTGAGATCTAGGTTTCCAGCAGTACACGGGGAGACCAGGTTGCTGGCCTCATCGGGCTTACTTTGTACAAGAGCAGCCAACAATAAACAAAGTAAACTGATCAATCAAGATTGTGCATTATTAGACAGGAAGCGACTGAGTCAAGAAGAAACCTTTGTGGGCAGAGGGAAAACAATTTGAGAAGGTTCCTGAAAGGGCATTAACAGAGTGAATAAATCAAAGTGGGAAGCTAAGAAGAGCAGCCACTTACCTATCTCATCGACAGTAATAGAATCCAAGTCTATTCTTTGGCACTCTTCACTGAAACGCGATGCTTCAACACTTAAAAAATACTCCTCAGGAAATAAATTATGGTTGCTAAAGGTAAAATTACTAAATATAAACTCATTGTAATACACATTTTTAAAGAGAAAATCGGTCAACAGAAGGTCACTGAGTAAGTCAGAGTGCGTAAGTTGCTATTCTTGCCTCCTGACTTTGACTCATATGTATGAATTTGGAATAAAGTGTGGAAATTTATTCAGTATTTATTCCTCACCTAGTATGTGGCAGACACGGTGTGAATGGTGTGTTCCCTGATCTCAGGTTTACCTTGTTTTCATGGAAGAGATTATTTAAATGGTTTGAGAATTATTTTAAATTAATAGCTAATTTAATGAAAATTTTATTTTAAATCTGTATGTGAATGTGTTATACCAAGTAATTTGAGTATAAGCACCGAGTACTAAGCAAATTGTCAATCTTCAGTATAGGAGGTGATTTGAAAAATAAATGTTGAAGTTTTTGCTCTCTGTGTGAAAAGTTTTTCTTGATCTTTGTAGAAAGTTATGCTTTGATTTCTCAAGTGTTTCCACTCCAGTGTCTAATTCTTTTTTTCACTTCTCAGATAGTTGATATAGGGGAGAGCATAAGCATTCCCGATGAATTTACAGAACAGGAGAAGAAGTCCGGGGAATGGTGGAAACGCTTAGTGGCAGCAGGAATAGCGAGTGCGATTGCGCGGACGTGCACGGCGCCTTTGGACCGCTTGAAAGTCCTGATGCAGGTAGTTTGCGTGCCTTGAAGGGCGGTGGAGAGTCCTCGGTCATTAAAACGTTGCTTTTCAATGTCTGGCAGAGGTCATAGTACCTCTCATTGAGATTTTATGCTTTCTTGGAAATGTAAATGATTTTCTCTTTACTATCAAAACCTTCAAGAGGCCTCTATGGTGTTGGGAATGATCGATCTTGAATGTCAGTTTCACTGGAGGAGGCTGAGCCTAGCAGATGAACAAAGCACTCGCCTGAGGGGTCTATCAGGGCATTTGCTGGAGGATTAACTACGGGAGAGGAATCACCCTGAAGGCGGGCAGCACTCTGGTGAGGCTGGGCCTTAGGGGAGAAGAAAAGGAAACCGGGAGCGAGCTGGCCAGGCAGACATTCGCTCTCCCTGCTCCTTGCCACACGGTGGGAACTCCACTGCCTGGCTGCCGTGAAAGAAATCTCTAAAGACGTGAGGCCAAAGAACCTCGTCCCCGTGTGCTGCTTGCTTCCTCACAGTGCAAAAACACGAACTCATACAATACTCAAAGGAATTTTACCTTCAAATAACAACAGAACTCCTCTATTAGACTGGTTTTCAGAAGCATAACTAGTCTACCCAATAATTATTAAAATTGATAATTACAATTCAGTACTTGCTGAATACTTTTGCTGTAAGAATATAAAACTCAAGAAACAATATAGGGAATTTAAATTGGTAATTAAAATGATATATCTGGGTGTTTTATTGTCCTTTGTTGTTTTGGTGATATTGGTAACCTTCAGTGATAAATTATGGATAGTTATTATAGTATACTATGATAATTATGTAAAATTGTAATGTTACCTAATTAAGAACATTGAAATTTGTCTGTAATTGTTCATCATTCTGTCAAAATTTGTGACTCTGCTTAAATATTAAATTTATATGTCATTTTTAGAATATATATTGTGTTACAAGGATATTATTTTGGATTAAGGGAGCTTTATTTATTTATTCCATACCTGTTTAGCAGGGTATGTTATGTATTAGGTCTTTATTTATTTATTTTTTTGTTGTTTTTTTGGAGACAGGATTTCTCTGTGTAGCTTTGGCGCCTTTCCTGGAACTCACTCTGTAGCCCAGGCTGGCCTTGAACTCACAGAGATCCTCCTGCCTCTGCCTCCTGAGTGCTGGGATTAAAGGTGTGCATCACTGCTGCCCAGCCTGTCTTTAAGGGGCATTAGGTACTGTACCAAGTCAGACACACTTTTTAACATTAGAGGAATTATAATACATCAGGGAAATAGATAATTAGATAATAAATATTGAAATGCCATTATATAACTGGACAGAAAACACACTAGTACCATGGGAATACCAAGGGGGAATAGATACTATTTTATTTCTTCTTCTTATGTCTCATGTAGCTATATAATAATATCTTGGTTAATTTATCCAATGGAAATAAAGGCTTTAGTTTAATCATCTAAAATATGGGGAATATAGTTTAGTTATGGTAATAGGGCAACTAACCCATTACCCTTCTATGTGTTTGATTTCATGTGTAACCCATATTCTATTCAGCCAGAAAGCTAAATTTGGACAATTGTTAGGAAAGACAAAGTTGAAAATGTTCTATTACACGTTAAAGTAGAAAACCAAGTTTTCCCAGTACCTGGGCCTCCAATAAAAATTTTTAAAATTACATATAAAAGAAATAATAAGGACATTTGTGGTGGTATTTTATTTGTATGTTAATAAATAAAGTTTGCCTGTCGATCAGAGGAAATAGCAAGCCATTAACACAAAAGTCAGGCAGTGGTAGCACACGCCCTTGATCTGATCACTTGGCAGGCAGAGTCTCTGTGTTTTCAAGGCCACACTAGGGAACAGAGCCAAGTGTGGTGACCCACGCCTTTCATCCCAGTGCCAACCATAGAGACCTAGAGGTCTGTACAGACAGGCAGTGACAAGGCAGTGAGGTAGCTGGGCTAAGAGCCAATGAGAGGGCAGAACAGCAAGGCAAGAAAGGCGCGGGTAAGACAGGAAGTAGCTCGCATTTTGGAAGCTACAGAGCTGGTGAGGTAAGGTGGTTGGTGCCTCTCACTATTTCCCTGATCTCGAAGGCTTTCGCCCCTATATTTGGCTATGTGTTCTTTATTTAATAAGACCGCTTAGAAATTCGGCTACAGACATTTACAGTGCTACACAGAGGAGACATGGTTGAGAGGTAACAGACATGGAAATAGGGCCAAGAGGGAAAATTAAGAAGAAAGATAGCTTATGTGCTTATTCCATGTTAGGTGCTAGAAATGCAAAGATGGACGAGCATGGTTCTTATTGTCCAGAACATGACAGACATATAAACCTGTGATGGTGATATGATATTGAAAAGAGCAATTGTTACTTTAGAGGCTTTGCTTCACACAGTCTGGGAAAGAACATTGTAGGTACACCAAGGTAGAGATGATTAGATCTCTAAGGATTACACATGCGTCATTGGATTAGGGGGAGTGAAAAAGCATGCAGCAACATCTGCAGCGAAACAGTGTTTGCTGGACATGGTGGGGCTGCTGCACACGTGCACTCACAGCAGCTGCAACCACATGCATAGGACCTGTATGAGATCAAGCCAACTAAAACCACAGCACGGGCAGGGGAGGCTCCTTCATGAAACCTGTCTCTGAGGAGCAATTGGCAATTGATGGCTGCTGAGAGAGGGAGTTTCATCTCCAAGGATGTGGCCCCTGAGAGGCTGTGCTCCAGGAGATAGTCCTAGACCCATGCACATCCTTGAGCATCAAGTGGACACAGTGGATTAAAAAGCACATGAAGTTGAGAGGGAAAAGCAATGGAAGGGATGGGGAGGACATGGAGGGGATGAAATGGGGGTAGACATTTGATCAAAACACATTATGTATGTATGAAATTATTAAACAAAGAAATCTCAAATTAAAAATATGGAGCAAATGTGGGGTAATGGAAAGAATGAAAAAAGGAAAGAACTAAAGCAGATAGAGTAGGAAAAGGATGTGAAAAAGGAAAGGAAAATATAGAAAAATAGAGAATATGGAGGGAGAGTAGATAAGAAATGAATTAAAGCCAAGTGTGATGATGATACAGGCCTGTACTCTTAGCCCTTGGAAAGTGGAGGCAAGAGAATCAGGAGTCTAAGGTTATCCTCAGTAATATAGCAAATTTCAGGTCAGACTCTGTCTGTCTGTCGGTCTCTCTCATACACACACACACACACACACACACACACACACACACACACACACACACATTTTTTAAAACCATAAGATGACAGGAAAACACAAAAACACAGGAAAGCATGGACGTAGACATTAGCTGACCTGTAATTCCCACAGCTCTCTTTGTTAGAAATTCAATTCAGTAACAAAATACCACAGCCTGGCATAAAATCAGAAGCATGGTGTTGTAGTTCTGGAGGACCAATCAAGTGAACAGCAGAGCTGACTGCTCCCAGGGTGCTGAGGGAGTCTGCTTCCGGTGCCTTTCCTTGACCTGGATACTTCATATTGCCTTCCTTCTTGGTGTGCTATTTCTCTATGTCCAAATTTCCCTTTTATAAGGATAAAGGTAATAGTAGATCAGCTTGACTTCATCTGCAAAGACCCTGTCCAAATAGGAGCACACCCTAAGGGAGTAGGAGTCTGGGCTTCGACACATTTGAGAGCTACAATACAATCCACAACACCCTGAAGTCTCAATGTATTCATCTTGAAAGTTTGATGTATTTTCATCCAGTTCTGTTTTCAATGCATTTCAATGTGCATTTCAACATTTCAGTGTGCTCTTTAATAATCTTGGGGTACTTTTGATAGCAACCACACACTTTGCTTATGCTGAGGGTCTCTGTCTTCCACAAGTTATCTTTATTTTTCTTTGATGTTTTATATTACAATAGTCCCCATCTCTGGGAGAATTTTCGCATTGGTTACCTTACACTGAAGATAGTTCTAAACCTTGGAATACTGTATTTTACCCTATACATACATACATACACACGATAAAGTTTAATTTATAAATTAAGCACAATAAGAGATTACCAGCATTAATACTAAAGTACAACAATCATAGTAATATACCCTAATACAAGTTACACGACTTTCATCTCTCACTGAAGGATGCACTTTATGTTGCCTCTGGCACATGTGTATTGCAAACATCGCTACTGCTGAGCTTTGGGGCCTTAATGAAGTAAAATAAGGGATGCTTGAACATATGCACTATGGTAATACTGCAGTAGTAGATTTGATAATGGAGATAGCTCCTAACTGATATGGGTAGGTAGAATATACTACCTGGATACACTGCACAAAGGTGACTCATAACTCTGGAAGGCAAGGTGGTGGGTGATTTCATCATCTATGCTGAATAGCATGCAATTTAAAATGCAGGAAATGTTTATTTCTGTGATTTTACTTTATTTGAAGCATGGGGATGTAGATGTATCCAACCGTCTTATTAAATAAGAGACACAGAAACAATGTAAAAGAGAAAGCCAAGAGGTCAGAACTCAGAGCTAAATCTCACCCTTCCTCCTGCGGTGTCCCAGCTTCCCGAAAAGAGAGCTATTTTCCTGTGTGTAAGTTGTTTCATAGTCATTCTGCCTTCTCATTGGTTGTAAACCCAAACACGTGACTGCCTCGTCACTGTCTATATGTACAGCCCCCTAGGTCTTAAAGGTATATGTCTCCAATGCTGGCTGTATCCCTGAACACACAGAGATCTATGGGATTAAAGGCGTGTGCCACCACCGCCACACTCTGTCTATGGCTCTAATAGCTCTGACCCCCTGGGCAACTTTATTTATTAACATACAATCAAAATCACATTTCAGTACAATTAGAATACCACCACATGGGATGCAAAACAATGGATAGAGGGAAGGCTACCATGATTTTTCTGTGTAACTGGGGACAAGAAAAAAAATACTAAAATGCCCCGCCTGCAGGGCCACAACGGGTTCTCGACCACCCTAAGGAGGGAATGTAGGGACAGGAGATACAAAGGAAAACACACCAAGTCTAGATTCTGGTCAAGGTGCAACTTTATTTTTCTCCAGAAGGGTTTATATAGTTCCTGCAGGGTGGGGGGAGCAAGAAGCTGTTATCTGCATAAGGTGGGACAAGCTAACAGGACGTTTGTATAGGATGTTTACAGGATGAAAGGGTCAAGGGCTCTGACTCAGTGTCCTGTTGCTAGGCAACCTGACTGTAAGATGATCTAGTTCCTTGTCTTATGGGGGGGGGGTCTGTATTTTTCCACTAACTAGAGATTCTGTCCTTGTCTCTGACACTAACATCGATTTTATGTGACTGAAGGAAAATTAAACAGCTGTTGAAAGTTATGAAGTATACAGGTATAAGTATTTCACCAGCAATGAAGTAGTTTTATATTACCAGCAAAATAAATTTAAATAAATTTGCCACTTATTTTTCTAGGTGCGTCGTTCAAGAATGAGTAAAATGAGTTTGGTTGATGAGTTCAAGCAGATGATAAGAGAAGGAGGACCTTTTTCTCTTTGGCGAGGAAATGGTGTGAATGTTATCAAGATCGCACCAGAGACAGCACTCAAGGTAGCGGCCTATGAACAGGTAAAGTGTTATTGACTCTGGGGTTTTAAATGATCATGTTTCAAACTTAATTTTTTATAACTTTAGACTTTTGTGAAAGAGAGCACAAGTGTGTATAAGCAAGAGTTGCCCGTGTACATATTACTGACTTTTCTTTTCATCCGTGCCTTTATTACTATAGAGTGCTTCTAGAAGCTGCACTGCATTATCACTGCAGGTCTGTGCCTTGTTCTTTTAAGTTAATTGTCACAGCTTAAGAGGTGTTCACAAAACAGCTCATAATTTTTTTCTTAAAACAGTTTGAATGTTTCTCAGAGATTTCAGCCCATTTGTTAATGAATCAAGAATTAACCTTCTTATTTAGTGAAGACAGAGTTGAGAAATATGCCCCGAATTTCAAAGATTTTTGGTCTGATTTAAGATCTTGTTTTTGCTTAAGTAATTTACTTTGAGACAGGACAGACATCAGTTTTCAAATATTGCAATTTATTTGGGTTTCATAAGAGTCTAAGGATGCTCTATATGCTTCTCAAGTTTTTCCTCTTTATTGTGAATTTTAGAAGAATTCTCTCCTCTTTAAATAAAATGCTTAGCTAGGGCATTAAAGTGCTTCTTCTGCAGGGCCTTTCTCATGTGGGCACAGAGCCGTACTGTTTTATGAAAATATAGAAGATGGATGCTACCCTTTCTTAGGTCAGATGGTGAAAAGCAAGGAGATAGATGACTCTGAAATGCTTGCCATTAGAATATTCAGCTCTTCCTAAAATGGAGATTTGCTGACTCTTTCAACAGTATTGTTTTTATCAGTTAGTGTACAACTCATGTGTTAAAGACCCTTTTCTAAGTAATAGAAATGTAGCAAATAACAACAAGCAAAAGGGTCTCATTTGTCTTTGTGGATTTTTATTTTATTTTATTTTATTTTATTTTATTTTATTTTATTTTATTTTATTTTATTTTATTTTATTTTATTTTATTTTATTTTATTTTATTTTATTTTA